ATGTGGGCTGTGTTGTTTGGGTACTTTGGACAGATTTTAGAAGAAGCAAACCAGACTTGACTCCAAGATGCTACAGCGACGGAGCACCCAGATAATGTACGGACTGAGTGATAAACTGAGAGTGAGTGTAAAAGTGCATTTATCTACTGAAAACTCTTCCCCAAAGAAATAAAACTGCATGGTTTCCACAAAACCCCTGGGGAGAAGCTCATGTCCCTGGAGGCAGCAATGCAGACACACAGGCAATTAAAAAATCATCAGTTCTTAATGATTCTCTCAGCATCCACCACTCACCTCCATAGCAGAGATTTTCCTTGACTGCCAATATACCATCTGAGTTATACAGTGCCTCTTGCTTTCTTAAGGGTATATAAAGGAAAGCCAACAAACTTTAAATTGCAATTAATTTATCACTAGACACATTATCTTCAGATTGCTTCACTATTGCCTCAACAGCATTTGCTGCCTGTCTTTGGTGAGGGCAGGGCTGACAGGAGCACATCAATCTCTTCCTGTTTGCCCTGTAGGTCTGTAAATACCAACTACTCCCAGGCACCTCTCGAGAAAGGAGTTGCACAGCCAGGAAGGTGTGTTGAGTCAAAACCTGCAAGCCCAGACATTCATCAGGAATGTTATTAATGTGCCATTTTCTGAGTTATGTGTCTTCATCTAAGGGTAGGGAGGGGTACGGCTGGTTAGCTGGGACTAGGGTAGCTGGGATAGCCCAGATTGTCTCCTTAGGAAGGAGATTGGAGAGAGACTTCAGCCAAGGCAACTGCAGTGAGGGGATTTCCTTGGAGAAACTCCTGGGATAGAGTCGGTGGGAGAGCACCAAGGAGACCATGGGGCACAGTAGGACACCATCCATAACAGGTGCTTTTACAAAAGCATATTTCCATAAAGTATGGAAAAATATGCCATGCTATGACATGTGATACAGGCTTTGAGCAACCTGGTCCAGTGGAAGGTGTCCCTGCACATAGCAGGGGGGTGGACTGAGGTGATTTTTATGGTCCCTTCCAAGGTCCCTTCCCTTGGCCATTTCTTAAAACACAACTTCAATACCACTATTCCAGGTAATTAATTCTGATCATAAGGTCCCCCCAGGGAAGGAAACCAAGACACATGAGAGCTGGGACACGGGGAAACTGAAACAGAGGGTGCAGTCACAGCACATCCTAGGCCTGAGAGGATGCAGGGCTGAGTAATCTGTATATAAAGAAAAGGTCATTTTGAGGGAGGATTTGCATGGAGGAAAACGGTTTACAAGTAGTAGAAATAAATAGTCCTTGCAAACCACTGGAGGTGATATAAACCAGCTGGGATGAAAAGAATCAGGGGAAAAAAGCAGACTTTTCTATGCAACCCCAAGAAACCATAAACTCCTCCCTGCCATCCTGCCCTGATGCTGTGTTTTACACACACCTCTAGCTCAGAAGAAAAAAAGATCTGCTGTTTTTTTATCAGTCTAAGTAAAGGCAAAATTTTTCCTACCCTTAAGAAAAAGGGTAGCTTCAAAGCCTTTAGCCTTATGCTGGAATAAACTTTCCATAGGGCCTATAATTTTAATCATATTTGAAAAAAATGGTTTAAAAGAACAGAAATTTGAATTGGGGGAAGTATCAGGCAGTGGGAAAAGAGTCAGTCTAATGGACTGCTTCTTATTTCCTCTGTCTGGCTTAATAAAACCAGATCCAGCAGTTTATTGCTTAATGAAATGTCATCAGGCAACTTCAAACAGATCGAGTTCCTAAGCTAACGAACAAGCCTGGCATATTCCTTCACCATGTGTCTTCCACAAATTTGGAAGAGTGCAATGGAAAACATACAGAAACATGCTCCCCTTGACTGCTGAGCAAACCCAGCATTGCTGGGTCTGAAGGCAGGAAATGCAACACTAGGTGTGTTCCTTCAGTATTTTGGGATTTTCCAGGCAGAACTGCACTGTCCCTGCTGTCCCCAGACAAACACCTGCCATCAATTCATCTGTAAAAGCAGTCCCCTGGAAGCCACCCAGATATGGAAAACACACCCAAATTTGCCAGGATGTCTGAGATGCCCTGCAGATGAAAGAGTCAAGAAGGAGACCTGTACAAATGGATGATGGAGTGGGCTGTCAGCAAGGATGGCTTTTATTCCAGTGCAGGAATGGAAAGGGTGAGCAAGATAAAGGAGAGATCTGGGAGCCCTGCAGACCACCCAAATCAAGGCAGTGTGTGCACTGATTGGTGTGATCTGAGCTGCTAAACACATCCTGGTGAAGTTTTATAAGCCAAGCTTTTATAAGAAAAAAAAATACTTCGGGTTTTCAAAATGCAAGGCACGTGTTCTGTCATGTAGAATGAGGTGAGTCGGTGTTCAGTGAGTGGCTTCCCATATATGTGGACATTACATGAATGATGTTTGAACACAATTCCTCTCCTGAGGTATTTGTGGGCATAATTAGACAGACCTCTTAGAAATTAAAGGTGATGAAGTTATAATGAATGAAATTTTCGCTTAAGTCAGGCTTAAAGAATATAATGAATGAGGAACAGGAAGAGTTGGGGGAAGGGAAAACATCCTGGGAAGGTCCAGTTGTCCTGGGGAAAGAATAAATACAACTGAACAGCAGAACATCCACTCCAGAATTTCAAATCTCCTTACAAAACTTGCTGTTGCTGTTTGCTACACAGCAAAATGCTTTATTTATGTTCTGTGTTTCCTAAAGCAAAATATTGGGAATTGCACTGAATCTTTTTGAGAGGAATGAGGTAATTGGATATAATATGAAAAATCACTGTTCCCATTGCTTTTACCTATGACTTAACTATTTAATCATGCCCATTACATTGTGCTGATGGGCTCACTATGGAACGCAGATTTTAAAACAATCCCTGCCAACTGCTTCTCAGCCTTCAATATTTCTTTTTTTCCAGCCATGGAACAGTGTCAGACAGACTCAAAACACATTTTTACAAATCTGTGCTCGAAAAATCTGCTCACATCCAAACCTAGGCGTGCACTGCCAGAGTTCTGAAGGCATGACTGCAAGGTGACACAGAAATCACATCACTGCATGGGTAGCCCTTGCTTTCAGCACACCAGCAAATAGGTCAGCATTAGTAAACAGGTCGGGAATTCAGGATTTGTGTTCAAAAATGAGATTATCTAGCAAAAGAAGAAAGCTGATCCCTGCAGTATGGACATTGCAAGAAACACAAGGTTTGAATTTTTCTAGTTCAGCATGAAAAAGCACTTTCACAGTGGGGTGGGGATGGGAAAAAGAAGCTGTTTGGAGGTTTCCAGCTGTATTTCTCTCACATCAGGGTGTATATGATGGTATTACCCCTTCACGTGAATAAATCTCATTTCTCACTTGAAACAGAAACTTTGGCCAGGGCATGAATGCCAGCTGGGGACACAGATGCAGCTCCCCCAGCATGTCCCAGCTGCCAAAAGAGGGAATGAAGCCACTGCCTTCAGGTCTTCTGGGACTGCTGGGACAATGTTCCCCATGTACAGTCTCTCAAGATAAAATTGCATTAAGGCTGTGATAAAAGCCAAAGTACACAAGAATTAAGGCTAGAGTTGACCTCCAACAGTATGGGGATTCTTCAGAGGTTTTCCTGATCTGAAAAGTGTCCAAACTGTTTGCCTTAAGAAAGTTTTTGTCTGATATAAATAATTAACAAGATCACTTGCCAGCACAGTAAACACACATCCTTTGGTAGTCAACACTGTGTATACACTGCTCTTACTTCTTATCTGCTCCTCCTTTTTTTTTGAAAGCATGTGCCACATTTTAACATCTTAGGAATTGCTTCCCACATTTGCCATCCTTATCAACACATGAATACATGAACTTGTTCCCTGGGAGCAGAGCCCGACCCGCCCCCCCAGCTCCACCCTCCTGTCAGGGAGTTGCAGAGCCAGAAGGTCCCCCCGAGCCTTCTTTTCTCCAGGCTGAGCCCCCCTCCAGCTCCCTCAGCTGCTCTTTGCAATGCAGACCCTTCCCCAGCGCCATTCCCTTCTCTGGACTTGCTCCAGCCACTCAATGTCTCTAATCATGAGAGGCCCAAAACTGATGCCAGGATTCAAGGTGTGGCCTCACCAGTGTCCAGTACAGGTGGACACTCACTGCCCTGGTCCTGCTGGCCACACTAGTGCTGGTACAAGCCAGGTGCTATTGGCCCGCTTGGCCCACTGAGCACATGCTGGCTCATGTTCAGCTGCTCCTGACCAGTACCCCCAGACCCTTTCCCACCCATCAGCTTTCCAGCTGCTCTTCTCCATACCTGGAGGTGGTTGTGGGTTGTGGCTGAGGGCCTGACAAGGCAGGGGTGGGAATCAGGCTTTATGTCACTGGTGCTGGGAATGTTGATGGGACATTAAATGGATCCTGGTCTTCAACATGCTTAGGATATCACGGTTGGCACAGTAGTTGATAGAGCAAAAAGCCTCATGGGCTGAGACAGTTTAATAAGGAAAACAAACCAGAACCAAACAAGTGACCCAAAAGGCCACAGTGGCTCCAGGCCTGATGCCCTGCTGGTCCAGGGGCAGCAGCAGCAGCAGTTGTGCTGCTGAGCAATATCACGAGGTGTGGGGCTCTCCCTGGGGTCAGGGCAACCAGTTGTCCTGGCTGTGTCCCCTCCCAACATCTGGTGCCCTCCAGGCTGCTCCCTGGTGCTGGGCTGAGGAGCAGAAAAGGTCTCAGCACTGTGCAGTTTGTGCTCAGCTGTGGCTCAGAGTTGTGTCCCCCACCCTGCTTTGGTCACAAATCCAGAGCACGACCCCATGCAAAGTTAACTCCATCTTATCCTCAACCAGTGCACATGCTCAGCGCTGCCACCAGCTCCACACTCAGTGAGGTTCCCATCTCTGGGCTTGTGTGTCCCCAAACCCCAAACTGTCGAGGTGGTGGGGATGTCACAGCAGGCACTGTGACGTTATCACCCAAGCCAGTATTGGCAGAGCATGCAATCAGTGGTGGAAATGTCACAGAAGTCACTGTGACACCATCTCCAAGGCCTAAGGCGTAAAAGATGGCTGCTTGTCAACCAGGAGAGAAGGTGGCTGAGGGAAGAGGTTAACTGGGGGGGGGGGGGGTCTGGTGCCCCTGAGGCAGCTCACATGCATCTCTCTCTTCACTCAGGGCTGGTGCACGAGTGTCAGGAGGAGAAAGGCCAGCTGTATTGCAGCAAAGGCCCTCCAGACACTCACCATCAACCTGTTCCATATCTGCAATGGCACAGCAGGACAAAGTCTTGAAAGAGCAAGGTGAAAGAGAAGTCTCTCTCCCCACAGTTCCCATGGCTACAGAGAGGATGCCAAAGCAGACTGTGAGCAGCCAAGAACAGTGGCAGAGGGAGGCAGGAGCTTCCCAACTGCCTTAGGGCAGGGACCCTCCTCTCCTGGGCCAGCGGGGCCCAGGCTGGGCTATGGGCACCTGCTGGGGCACCCGTGCCTGCCCCGTCCTGCCCTTCCACCAGGCCAGCAGGGACAGAGCAGGATCCTGGGGACAATCCTGCAGGTGCACTTCCCCAGCCCCACAGAGGTGCTCATCCCAGTGCCATGTGCTCGCTCTCTCTCTCCAGTGTGCCTGCTGTGTCGCCGGGCAGAGGCGGACCCGGACATCTGTGGGATCAAGAGGGTGAAGTTCAGGCTCTGTGTCCATATCTACTGCCAGGTGAGTTCTCACAGGGCTCCCTCCAGCTTTCTGCCAGGGAAGGGGCCTTCTTCACTGAACTAAGGAGCTCCTGGCTTTTCCTGCTCTGCAGTTCTTTGCCAGCGGGCTTTTTCCACAAGACAACTCGGAAGAATTTTTTGTTAGGGACACCAGACGCGTCATCCAGGAGGCAGCCAAGAAGGTGAGGACCTGGAAGGAGCAGGGAGCTTTGCACCAAGAGAGGCTCCTGGATTCCAGGAAAGAAACCCCAGCCCCAGCACAGGCAACAGCCTCGTGCACAGGCAGGTCTGGGGCTGTGAGCCCTCAGTGCCCACATCCCATGCCCTGCCCGGAGCTGCAGGGTAGCCATGCAGCCCTGATCCTGCTGCTCAGAGGCTGCTGTGCTCTTTCCAGCATTGTTTCGCTTGCAGCAAGATGGGGGCCACCATCACTTGCTGGAAGACGGGGTGTGACCGCAGCTTCCATCTGCCCTGTGCCCCACAGGGTGAATGCGTCACCCAGTTCTTCGGGCTCTACAGGTAAGGGCTGCCAGCCCTCGTGCCGGAATCTTCTCTTTCATCTTCAAACCACCTCCTGTCCACAGTGACCAGGCAAAAGAGAACCCACAGGGACAGTTCCCAGCAGCCTCCCACAGCCAGAGGCAGAGCCCTCGCAGAGACTGGGGCTCCGTCACAGCTCCTCTGCCCTCTTCACCATCACCAGGGAAGGACTCGGTACTTCCCACCTCCCCTCACTCATCTCTTCCATCTTGCCCCCAGGTCCTTCTGCTGGGAGCACCGCCCACGGCAGGCAGTGCAGGCCCGTCCAAGGCAGAACAACACCTGCAGCATCTGCCTGGATACCGTGGAAGACAAAACATCCTACAAAACAATGGTGTGCCCTGCGTGTCAAGATGCCCACTTCCACCGGCACTGCATCCAGAGACTGGCTCTCCACGCTGGCACCTGCTTCCGCTGCCCATGCTGCCAGAACCAAGAGCTGTTTCTGATGGAAATGCTCACAATGGGGATCCGAATCTCCAAGAGGTTGTTTTTTCTCTTCCCAACTCACAAGACATCACACCCAAGTGCAGTGCCAGCCTAGGGACTGCCCCAGCAGGCCTGGCTCCCTTCCGTCCCATGCCTCTTGTCCTCAGCTTCACGGAAGAGCTGGAAACAGGGCAGGCAGAAAAGCAGGGATTGCCTGGGTCTACCTGGGGTAGATGGGGCTCAACACTTTCCCCTTCTTCTCCAGCAGACCTCCATCATGGGAGAGCGACCCAGCAGTCGGAGCATTAGATCAGAGGCACAGCCGCTGCGACGCCAGCACATGCCTTTGCCCAGGAGGCAGGAAGCACACAGAGGAAGAGGGGTAAGTTGCCAAAGCAGCAATCCAGGGCTCTGGACAGGATCTTTGTCTCCCCACGGGCTCAGGGAGGAAGGACTAAGAACAAGGGCTCTGCTGGGCCATCCCTTGCTGCACCACTTTATCCTCACAACCAGTATCTCGTTTCCCTCGCCAGGCCCTGGGAACTGCTCCTGTGCAGCTCCTGCGCTGCAGAGGGCACCCATCGACACTGCTCCTCTTTGGCGAGCAGCACCAGCTCCTGGGAGTGCAAGGGCTGTGCTGGCACAGAGACTGGTGGGTGGCAAAGCACCCGGTGCCCTGCACTGGGGCCAGGGGCCAGGCTGGGTCTGGCAACATGGCCTGAGGCTGGGCTTGGCTCCAGGAGGCCTGTGGGTACCACAGCGGCCTCTCCTGCCCAGGGGCTGAGTGCCCATCCTGCTGACCCTCCTGCCTCTCCTTGCAGGGTCCACTGACAATTCAGAGCTTGTCAGGCCCAACACCTCCAGCCAGGCAGCATCAGGGCTGTGCCATGCAAGCAGCAGCTTCTCCAGACACCCTGGGCCAGCCCAGATCCAACAGTGCACACAGAGACTACGGCAGGCACAAAACTCAGGCAGCCCCACAGTAAAATGCCCAAGGATCAACCGTGTGCCACTGCTGAGTGCTGAGACCAGCAGCCTCAGCACTTCCAGTCAGGCAGGGTCGAGGTTGTCCCAGAACACGTTGCCCGTCTGCTTTCCCTGCCCTCGGCAGGGCTTGAAGCGGCAGCGCCAGGAGCAGGACAATGAGTCCTGGACACCCTACAGCCCGCCGGCAAAACGCCGCAGGATCTCCGAAGAGCCAGCCCAGAGCGCTCCAGCCAGCGGGCCCAGCACCTCCAGTCAGGCATCGTGGCTGTACCGCAGCATTTGGGTGGCCAACAGAGCAATAGCACAGTTACTACCACTGTACAGGCCGTCATGGCTCTTCCCCAGCTCCGTGAGGGAAAACCGCTCCCAGCTGGGGCCGGTTCGGATGCGACACATCTCACGGCGGCAGCGGCGGGCGAGGAAGCCCTACAGCCTGCCCCAAAACCACCGCAGGACCAGGCGTGCGCCAGCCCCATGTGCTGGCTCCCCCCCAACACCACAGAAACACAAGAAAAAAAGAAAATAAAAGTTGGTTTGCACTGGGAGATGCCATACTCCTTCCCCAGTCATCTTGCAGCCTCCTGCAACTGATGTCCCGGTTCAGGAAGGTACTCTAGCATGTGTGTCCCCTCAGGGACTCAAACTGTCTCATCATGGCACTCGGTGTCAGGTGAAGCTTGTAGACTCAAAGTCCTGTAAATACGTTGTATTAGCAGCAGTTGACATGTAAAAATTCCACCTCCTCACTGGAAAACACCTGGAATGCAATTCAGCAGCTCTGGTTGAGTACTCCATTAGGAACTGGGGCACAGGGGACAGTCACTGCCCTGGTCCTGGTGCAGGCCAGAACGCCACTGCCATTGCCAACATCAGCTTGTGTTCAGCTACTGCCAACCATCACCTCCCGGTCCTTTCCTGCCAGGCAGCTTTCCAGACACTCTTTCTCAAGTCACGTTGTTCATGTTGTTCAACACGCCATGTTCAGGGTTGACCTCAAACTCTTCAGGACATTGCTGATCTATTGCATTAGGTGTGTTTCTACTAACACGTCCAAAAAAACCTTGAGTGATGTGCAGAGGAGGCTTTGGGAGCCTGGAACAGTCAGACAGGCATTTCTTTCTGTGCACGGGGCTACAACTCCCAACCAGAGATTAAATACCCATAGTCTGAGTGGAGACAAAGTGGCTGATCTATAGCTCCCTGCTAAGAAGGTGTGAAGGGGGGAGAGGTGGCCAGGCAGGGGGACAGGCTATAAATAGCAGCTGCAATGAGCTGCTGACTGTGATCCACCAATGACATGGGCATTTCAGGTCAGGGGACAGGCCTGGGTATCTGAGATGTGAGGACAAAACTCATTCAGAGAGCTAGGATGGCTAACAGAGGGCTAAAAAATGCAAAAATAAAAAAAAAAAAATCACATCCTCAGTCTCACAGAACATGTAGGAAAGTGTCTCCTAGGTGAATCTGACCTAGACTACATTTTATATTGGGTTCGAATATTAGATTTTATTTTGAGCCTTTATCTTAAGCCTTGACAAATACACTTTTACTTGTGCTTCCCCAGGAGTGTGGGGTTGCCCATGGGCAGAGTGATGCTCCTCATACTCCACTCACCCTCTGCCAAGGAAGGCAAAGAGGAGTAGGGGAGGAACAGCATGTTATTGTCCTTCAGAATTTTCTCACCACCTTTTTCTGCAGACCGGTGCTCTGCCCACAGAGGCAGCCACAGGCAGAAGCCAAGAAGGCACAAGTTGAACCTGCTGCTCCCACAGCAGTCATCAAAAAGGGGCTCAATTTTAGGCTGAAGAAGCCCAAATGCAGCTGGTGAGCCACAGTTTCACATCAAGACAGGGTGACAGCAGCTGTGTGCCCCAGCAGGAACAGTGCAGTGGAATTGTGGGATTCATGAAAACAGCCCGGGAGAGCTGGGGCTGTTCGACCTGGGGAAGAGAAGGCTCTGAGAAGACCTTATAACACCTTCCAGTACTTAAAGGGACTCCAAGAGAGCTGGAGAGGGACTTTGGATAAGGGTATGGAATGACAGGACAAGGTAAAATGGCTTCAAACTGACAGAGGGCAGGGTTAGATGAGATATGGGGAAGAAATTCTTCCCTGTGAGGGTGGGGAGGCCCTGGCACAGGCTGCTCAGAGAAGCTGTGCCTGCCCCATCCCTGGAAGTGCTAAAGGCCAGGTTGTGTGGGGCTTGGAATAATCTGGGCTAGTGGAAGGTGTTCCTGCCTATGGCAGGGCATAGAATGAGATGACCTTTAAGGTCCCTTCCAACCCAAACCAGTCTATGATTATATAATACAGTGTGGAAACTAGGTTTGGGAATGGTCAGGGAATTGAGAAAACACTTTTATTGTCAAAACCTGTGAGCAGCAGCTGCCTCCCAATCAGTTTTAATTCAATCTTATGCCACTTTAAACTTTTATGTATTTGCAGGAAGAAAAAAATAAAGCTTGTCCCTGATGAAGCTTTCAGACAGCACTGAGATTAGGGACCTGATGAAGAAGAGGAGGAGGATGTGCTGCAGAGGCAGCAGTGGGTGATCTTAGAATCACAGAATCAATCAGGTTGGAAAAGACCTCCAAGATCATCAAGTCCAACCCTTGATCCAACCCCGCCGTAGTTCCCAGACAATGCCACTGATACTACATCCAGTCTTACCTCCACCACTTCCCTGGCCAGTCCATTCCAATGGCTGATTACTGTCTCTGTAAAAAATTTCTTCCTGATATCCAACCTAATCCTCCCCTGGCACAGTTTAAGACCGAGCCCTCTTGTTCTACTGCTGGGTCCTGGGAGAAGAAACCGAGCCCCACCCAGCTACAACCTCCTGTCAGAGAGTTGGAGAGAGGGATAAGGTCTCCCCTGAGCCTCTTCTTCTCCAGGCTCAACAACCCCAGCTCCCTTAGCCTCTCCTCACAGGACTTGTGTTTGAGTCCCTTCCCCAGCCTCGTTGCTCTTCTCTGGACCTGCTCCAGCGCCTCCATGTCCTTCCTGAACTGAAGGGCCCAGAACTGGACACAGCACTCCAGGTGTGGCCTCACCAGCACTGAGTACAGGGGAAGAATCACTTCCCTGCTCCTGCTGCCACACTCTTCCTGATCCAGGCCAGGATCCATTGGCCCTCTTGGCCACCTGGGCACACTGCTGGCTCTTGTTCAGCTTCCTGTTGGTTAGAACCCCTAGGTTCTTTTGTGCCCAGCTGCTTTCCATCCACTCTGTCCCCAGCCCGTGGGGCTGCCAGGGGTTATTGTGGCCAAAGTGCAGGACCCAGCACTTGGCCCGTTGGAATCAGCCCATCCCTCCAGCTTGTCCAGGTCCCTCCGAAGAGCCCTCCTGCCTTCCAGCTGATCAACACTCCCCCCTCTTGGTGAGCTCAGTCAGATGAAACAACAGAGAAAGCAGCTGCAGGGATCTAGCTGTAGTATCCTGTAGGATCTAGCAGGGCTGTAGCAGGGATCCAGCAGCCCACTCCACCTACAACCTCTTCTGCCACTGCTTAATATTAAAGTCTGCTTTAATTTTCTGAGATACATCTTTGCCAACACTGCTTGAATGACCCTCCTTCAGAAAGAGCTCTAAGGTGGTGGCTGGGGGATACAAGCCCATGGGCCAGTGGTCACCCACGCTGTGTGATGTGTTCCCGAGGTTAATTGTCTTCTTGGAGTCTGGTAATGAGCAGGGATCATATTCTATTAATAGTCTTCATTCTTTCTCAGTGACTAATCTCCCTCCTTAAAAATTTCAAAGCCTCACATCCACAAGATGGATGGAACTTAATTGTGGAGTTTCTGGCTGCTTTGCTACTACTTTAAAATTTCCTATTCAAATCCACAGTGACATCTCACCTCTGCACTGGGTACTGTAACAAAACTCACCTCTCACACTGATTAGCAGGCAGGAAAACATCACTTAAATCAATGTTAGTCCCTTCCACAACAGATTGACAGTATTTGTGAACAAGGGAAAAGCAGCAGTTGTTGTGGATCCTCACACTGGGAAAGCTCTGGCTGCTGTTCTCAGAACTAAGCTCTGAAAACAAGATCTGCATGAAGACAAAACATCACTGGAAACATTTAAACATCTGGCTTGTTTAGCCTTAATAAAGAGCGAGGCGTCATGTGCTGAATCTTTAAGAGGAGAATGAAGTGTACTCGAAGCCCTGGGTAATAAAAGTAGAGAATCAAGGCATGAAAGGGATGAAGTGGGAGATAACGACCCCACTGGGCAAAGGAAGAGCACTTTTTGAGCTTCCCAGGTTTGGGGAGAAAGCACTTGCCTGGAAAGAGGGGCTGAAAGGAGCTCTGTGACCTGCTGCCACTGCCAGCACTTTGTTCCTGTTCTTGCAAAGCTTCATCGCTCTGTGCAACCTCAGTGAGCTGTGCTTCCTCCCACTGAGCTATTCCAGATTTTCATATCCTCATCACTTTTTTGTTCTTTAGATAAATATTGATCACATCCCAGATTTGTCTTAAGCTGTGCAATTCTCTTAAATTCTCTTAACTGATCACACTCCAGGTTTCTCTTAAATTTAAATTCTCTTACAACATATTCTCCAAAGATCCAAATTTTAGCTGTGCCAAGAGAAGGGAGACCCTCAGGACTCTCTCACAGGGCAAGGCAGGCAGCAGTACTTCTCTGACTGTGCTGATTTCACCCCAGACCTTGTTCTCCCTCTGATCAGTATTTTTACCTTCGTTTCTGGATTGAGATCTCATCTGTTCCAGCCTCACTGGAGCACCAACACAGTTTCATGGGCAGAGCTGGCCCAGCCATAATGACACAAGGAAAGTGGTGCCACATGGGGAAGGAGGTCCCAGGCACCACCATGGTTGTCAGCCTTCCTTTTTGGTTTTAATTTATTTGTTATTGGTTTAGCATGTGACCACCCACTAGCCTGCAGAAGAATAGTGTGGGCAGAGGACTAGATTAAACCAAAATGTTCCTGCTCAAGCTCATGGTGTGTGAATTACAAACTGTTGACTTTCAGCTCGGAAAAAGTCATCCCCATCCACCTCTGAGCACCCTGCACTCCCCAGGCCCCCACCACAGTGCCTCCTCCTCCTCATAAGGAGTCTGGGCTGCAGCAAACATCCATTTGGAGGATCATCAGGAATACCTTGAGACTCTCCTGGGAAAATCTGACAACTGGATTCCTCACCCACAAAATAAAAAAACCAAAAAGTCCTCAAGGGGCCCTCTCAGGGATGAAGTTCTTCCAGGTTGCCTAGTGACAAGCTGTTGCTCCCACCTGCGGACATAAATAGTGCTTAAAAAGCCCTGTTATGTGATCCCAGTTCATCTCCACAGGGCCACAAAGAGCAGGGTCTTTCAAAATTATAGTCTTTGATTAGCTCCTTCACCAGAAGAAGCAGCCCTGCTTGGACAGGCCCCTCTGCAACCACCCAATGTCTTTAATGACGCCAGTACCGCCTGCTCCGAACGCGGCGGCTGCACAGGGACACCTTCCCCATTTGGCTTTAATCCTGTTTTCATTTTTGTGCTCTCCAAGGTTAAATTCGGAGCTGGGAGCTCCAACCCAAGCCCTTTAGCTCTGAGCCTGTACCACATGCAAATACCAGTCCCTTTCTCACGCTGCCTTTGGCCTTGACGTGGAGCAACTGTTCCTGCACATGGGAGGGAGAGATCAAGGACTGTATCAGCAAGGCCACAGCTCTGTGTTTCTATTCCAACTGCCTGACATTTGTTGCAGCCCAGACAATACAAAATGTCCCAATTGCATGGCTCTGGTCCATGCTCACACAGAGCCTCCCCCAGGGGAGCTGAGGGGGAGCAGCCTGATGCAGGGGCACAAAGCCATGTGATATTTTTGCACAACAGCATCATTTTCTTGGTCTTTTTCTCTTTTCCCCTTATAATATTCTCCTTTGCAACCCTGGGTGTGTATCAGCACCATTTACTCAGGGATCACTCCATGATGGCATTGTTTAGATGCCAGAGGAGGAATCATGGTCCTGTCATGCCAGGCACAGGGCACCTTCAGAGGAAGGGACACTCGTTGATGTCTCAAGAGCTTGTAGTCCATCAAATGTGGTGGCAGATGGAAAGCACATGGATTATCCTTGTTCTGTAGAGGGAGAAGGTGCTGTGCTCAGCAGCAGGGCAGCGGGATCTGTCCTGCATGGAGCTGGGTGACTGAAGGTCACTGGGACTTATCCTGCATGGAACTGGTTACTGTCCACAGGTCACTGCAGTTCCTTCAGCACCAGCTCCCCAGGAGTGACCTGGGACTGTCCAACACCCCTTTCCTCACCATAGCAGCTAATGAAGCATGAAGTGCCATGGACTCTCCAAGAGGAGCTGAGCACCCCATGGTTAACATTGTTCCACTCCTTAGGCCAGAGTGAGCAGCCAAAACTCAGTATTGGGGTTTTTTCCCTGAAGACGAAATGGGGACAGAGGTGGGTACTCCTCCAGTGGTTTCCTGTCCATGTGAACAATATAACCCCCCATAAAGGATCCCTTTCACAACTACTTGCTCCAACAAGGCTCCCCCCACTCACCACGAGGACAGCCTGTA